ATGGAAAACTATAACTGTATTTTAAACAACTCCTGCATGCTTGCAACATTTAGAAGCTGTTAAAAGACTAAAAACATGTATAATATATGCTAGTTATCTCACTTACAGAAAGAGTATATCTTCACCTGAAAGACGGTGAATTCTTGTGTGTGACCATGTGTCTGGATTATAAGTTGATTGTCCTTCCAGATACTGCCACACCAAGAAAGTCATCCACAGAGACATCAAGCCGGAAAACTTGCTGTTGAGTCTCCGAGGTGACCTCAAAATTGCTGACTTTGGTTGGTCAGTTCATGCGCCATCTTCAAGGTAGGTTGTGTGAATGGCATATGCGTGTGTGTGTATGTATATACAAACTTGTACATATTTATATAAATATATACATACACATACATACACATGTATATAATATTAAGTAAGGATGAAGTCAGCAGTGAATCTTATGTTTTATAAGGTCTGTATGAAGATGATCATATGGGTAACTTTTTCCAATAAAGGAAAAGGGTCATGTGTAGACAAATACAGGAGGAAAAATTCGCATTTTCATTTGTATTTTCAGACGCACTACACTCTGCGGCACCCTGGATTACCTCCCACCAGAGATGGTCGAAGGAAAGGCCCACGACGAGAAAGTGGACTTGTGGTCTTTGGGCGTTCTCTGTTACGAGTTCCTGTGTGGCAAACCTCCTTTTGAGGCAGAGACCAATTCCGGGACTTACAAACGCATCACCAGTGTGGATCTGCGGTTCCCTTCCCATGTCTCAGATGGAGCTAAGGACCTCATTGTTAAGGTGAGTGTCTTTGTAGATGGAAGGAGCTTGTTAAATATACAGGCTTTATTCTGACAGGTGGCAGACATAGTCTTTTAACCAACTGGAAATGGATATGTGGGTATAATGGGTACTGTTGACTGTAGTCTTGTTTTGTGAATTTTTTTTTTTATATAGATGGCATGTTATGCAACCTCATTTCCTCATTCTTTGATTTTTCTTCATGTGATACTGTAATTCCTCTACTGACTGTATGGTTATTATAGTGGTGTTAAAATACTAATAGCAATAGAAATAAGAATCTCCCCAAAATTCAAGAAAAAGGGTAAACAGGTATGACTGGTAGGACTAGTTCTTGCAGTCATCTATGTGTAAACAAAATTCTTAAAAAATAAAATCACAGTAGACATGGCATTTTTGGACATGCCATTCTGGCTTCACTGGATTAAGACTCTTGCTATGTCACGAGTCTGTTGCAATGTGTGATATTCTATCACTTTGTCATTCTTGATTCAGCTGCTAAGAAGAAGCCTTTAAGATATGGGATAGATACCTAGTTAGTGAGTCCTTGTGACTTGCTTGTGAAGTTGACAAAACAAAACTGCAGTGTCTGCCATGAATGGGTTGATAATATTATCACTATCTTGACTTTCATGACCCCTAAGAACTACAAACCCTCCAGCTTGTCTGTCCCCTCAGCCAGAAAAAAGACACAATTTTTAAAGTTTATCCTTTTTAAATTTTGTTTTAAGCATTTGCCTAACTCAAAAATGTATATTTCATTGTCACATCTCACAGGCCATGAGTATTGGTAAAGTGGAGAGTTTAAAAGGTTCTCACAGTTACCCTAAGTGTATGAACAGATTGCTATGAATATGTAAATAAACATATAAATTAGTTATTTACTATTTAAAATCATAGAATGTGCATATAGATGTATTTATTCATTTGTAGAGGAATATATAGTAAAGAGATATACATGGAGGTAAGTTTGTGATGCATAATAGTATAGTGTGGAGGGGGAATGAGGAAAGAGGAAACGATCACATGCTGAGCTGTATGGAATGTGCCATACACCATCATAATTACTACTATACACTCACTCCATTTCATTCAGAAGTTAGAGGTGTGAAAACACAACTGTGTTGGTCAGGGATAGAAGGGCCTACAAGGGAAGTAGGGGTATGGGGATGGTATGTATGTGGCTGAAGGAAACTTTCCAAACATACCAGATATACAAGTGGAGAGTACATACACTTCATTCATAATGACAAAGTTGCCAGAAAAAATCTGTCAGTTTTAGGCAGGCCTTCCACGATCGTGACAAATAAGACAACAGGTTCCATTAACCCTGTTCTTTCTTCCCCAGCTACTCCGTCACAACCCTCGTTCTCGCTTGAACCTCGAGGGGGTGCTGGCGCATCCCTGGATCCAAGAGTGTACCAAAGACCTGCCTACTCCCTCAGGTCACTGAGTGGTGATCACAGGGGGGGTCTTGCAAATATTGTGATATTGTCCTCGAACAAGTTTATTTGAATTTTGTACAAAGTTAGGTGCTTTGATCAGGATCTTTTGTAACAAAGATATTTTGTATTCCCTTTTAATCAGTAACAAGTAGATTGACCTTGTTGCTGAAAACTATAGGTCATTCCATTTAGTGTACTACAAAGGGTATTTGTAATATTTGATTAATATTTCTCCATTGTATTTATTTATGTGATTATACATAGTGGGATTAAAAAATGACATCACTTTTGTTTATATTGCAAACATAATGGTAAAGGAATGTATTAGATTTTATTACCAAGTGCAGAAACACCACTCCCTGGTAGCTTTTGTAAACATAAGCACAAATAGATCATATTGACAATAGTATAACTTGGAGGGAGTGATTATTAAAGTTTTTTGTCAAATGTATCCAACTAGATTTTTACATCGCGGGGACTTTTGGGGTTTATGGTCAGGTTTCCAGCATCTCTTTTATAGCAATATGGATTTACCTGGGTGACCTCTGACTATCCAAGCTTTAGACTGGCAGAATGCTTGTGGGATTTTGTATTGTATGCTTGTGCAATCTCTTCTCTTTTTCTCATCTTGTCCTCTAGCTCCTAGTAATGTTTTATTCAGTTTTCTTCTTGTTACTCTTTCAAGACCATTCAACCTTGATAAACGCTGTCCATCAGAGCTATTTTCACGTCAGTTTTGTTGGTATCGATAAACTTCTGTAAATAAGATTCTTTTCCCTTCTTTTTTCATTTTTGCTGCATTAAGAGATAATACCATTTATAGAACAGTGAATAACAAAGCTTTCAGAATTGAACACAGCTGCTTTGGCTGGAAGGGTGTGCATGTAACTGATTGATAGTAAAGAAAATCATAGCATTTTCTATTTCAAGAGTTCTTCCAATCATTTTATAGTTAAACTGTAAAAATATGATATGGTTTTTCCTCTGCTTCTTATTCTCCATGCATTGCTAGACATTCTGCTAACATGTTCTAAACTTTCAACGTGTTAGCTTGTTTTCTAGCTTATCTTTTAGCTAATATGTCATAAATTTTCCTCAGTGAAATATTTCTGTTCACATTTTATGCAGTTTTGTACTTCTGTTTTGTTATTCCTCTAAGAATGTTACTATTTACTCTGTTTTTTTATTTTTATTTATTTATTTATTATTGTTTATTTTTATTTTTTTATTTATTTATATTTTTTTTATAATTTATTTTATTATTATTATTATTATTATTATAATTACAGTTTAGTTTAGTTTAGTTTACTTGGATATTGAGATTGCCACAATGTGTTTCATTAGTATAAGTATTACTAGTATGAAAGTTGTGTATATAGATTACTAAATAAGTTCACTTTAACAGGTTTTGTAAAGCAAGAAAGTTAAACTTGCCTACACGACTTGTGTTTACACTGCATTTATTCTGTACTGTATCTGTACTTGGTTTTAAACAGCTTGGATTTAAGGATAAAAATATATGGCACGGAAAATAAATGTTAACTGTTATTACATTTTTATTTTATTTATTTTTTTTTTTATTATTATTATTTTTTTTTATTATTATTTATTTATTTTTTTTTTTCTTCCTAAAATTTGCTACTGATCATTCAAGATTTTTCTTTTATTTATATATATGTATTTTTTAGGAAAGTAGTAAATCCAGAAATGGGATGTCGTATATAAATTTAAAAAAATAAAATGTAATTCCTTCCTCATACTTTGTTATTAACCTTATCCTTCAGCTTATAGTTCAAGCAGTATAATGTAAAATAAACTTTAAAATTTGCATCACTACTGTTTCTTTCAACCTGAGATTCATGTCTTCAGTTTTTGAGTAGAGCAATGAAGTATGAAGAATGTTTTGATAATTATACATTTAAAGGACCACTTAAATTAGACTATCATTATTATTTTCTTTATGATTAATTCTCACTGAAATTTTCCTGGTTTGTAGTATCTATCATATAAATTTACTAGCATCTGTAGCAGACAGTAAGAACTTTTCTTATACCCCCTAATCTCTTCCTCCCCTTTTATTTTCCCTCTATTCTTCATCATCCCCTTCTGTCTGCTTCTTAAGGTGTGAAAGCCATGCAGAAAAGATGAAAGATGAAAGTCATGAACAGCCTCCAGGAGCCATGGGTATAGTATTCCCATGATTAATTGCCTTCATGGGGACCATTTCCTCTTCCTCTCTATTTCAGGCTCTCCATGGCTAACAAAGATTTCTTACACTTATTAGGGGCATTAAGGCTTTCCCCTTCATCAATTAGCCTATCAGTATTTTATTTCATTGGTTTCCTAACCCCTGCCCCCCCCCCCTTGATCACAGCTCCGACCAATTATACTAATACCCCCTCCTCGATATTTGTGGTCAACTCTGTCCATTCCGAATCATCCGCCCAGCACAATACTCAACTTTCAGAATACACCCCATTCTCTCTCCCATCATCATCCACTCCATCTTCTATCACAGTCTTCTTTGTCTGCCCCCGTTCCCCTTATTACTACTATTCATCTATATTGTCCTCCTCCCAACAGTACTACCTTTCTCCATACTACCCTGTCTTCCTTCTGCGCTCATTCTTCTACTGCTTCCTCCTCTGCAAGCCTTTTTTTTCTTAGTATCCTTTTTGGTCCAGCCAACTTGGATAAATTCTTTGTAATTCCCCCTACAGCCCTGTACCCAGACAATACCCTTCTCTTCCAATGTCTCCAAAAACAAGTAAGCAAAGTTTCCTTATGCAGTCCTTCCAATCATTCACGTCTTGTCACAATTACATCTGAGTCCCAATTCCATGCATTATCTACCCTGACTGACCTCACTGGCAAAGCTAGTCCCGCCCAACCTCACTCCTCCCTTAAACCATTTCCACCAAGGAAAATGCTGTGCTCATTTTTTATTTTTTTGTAAAATGCCTCTGCACATAGATGTCTCTGCTAGTGCTTAGCCACAAATGAGTCAATTAGTAGACCTTGTGATATTACGTGATTTCACCTTTCCCTGAATTGGCAGGAAAAACGTATTTTTTACTAATTCTATGAATATTGATGGTGTTATTTTTACCATTATAATTACTAAAATGTTATAAACATTAACAACAGAAAAATAAGATAATGTAAAATATTTTTATATTATATTTTGCACATCAAGGAAAAGGGTAAATGGGTGAGACAGGCAGTACTTGTAATTGGCTCATTAGTGATTTAGTACAAGTGTAGCCCTCTATGTGTAAAAACAATTAACAAAGTGAACTCACAGTGGGTATGGCATGTACATACATGCCATGCCCATTGACATTAGGTTAATGCTACTACTTGAACTGTTTCCTTCTCTCCAATTGATTGTCCTGTCTACAACAGAAGGACTGGTCAGACTGTGAAAATGACCTGCTTGTATGCTTCATCAACTCTGATGCAGTGGCAGTCCAGTGCTACATTATTCCTCCCAGAGGCCAATGTAAGTGCTACACCAATATTGCCAAGATTAGCTTCCACAGACATGATCTCCCCCATGAAGTTTATATTGGTAGAGTGTCCTGCCCTGTCTGACCATATATACCTTTTCCCTGTCAATGTTGGTGATTTGGCGACCCAGCTAAACACTGTTGCTCCACAGCCCATTGCCCTCTGTGTCCCCAACCTGGTCATGACCATTCAAATTGCTCTGCTCAATCATGCATGTGTGCCAATTGTGGTGGCACTAATGATATAATTTATAGGAGCTGCCCTGCAGTTCTCAGGTTCATAACTAGGCCTCACTCAACATGAGGCTTTGCTCCCCTCCCATCTTCTCATCTCCCCCAGTATCTCTTCCCTCTACCTCAAACCAAATTCCCTCTCCCCCCTAGTCAAATTCCTTTTCCACTCTATATCCAGATCTTCCAATCTCTACCACTACCCTGCTACCTATCCCTCCCACTCACTCTACCTGTCACACCAATCTAAACATTCCATTCCATCTTCTACAAGATCTCCTACACCCACCTCTCCCTCTGCTCCTCGGATAACTATTTCTCTTCACCTCCACATAAGAAAACCTTTGTTTCATAAACCTCCCTACCCAACTCCCCTCCAGAAACTTTTGAGGACATCCAAAAGTTCATAAACAGGACTCAAGCGAATGATCCACTCCCTCATTCGCTCTGCATTAAAATTATCCTCCTCCTCAAGTTCGCTCTAACCCTGTTCCTCCCACTCACCCAAAAAACACCCCATCCTCTCTTACTCCATGTGCATCACCATTCCCTCTTCCTTCCCCATTATCCTTACCTCTCCCACCAAGATACTCACATGACTCCCTTATGTCACAAAATGTCTTTCTCCACATCCCTCCTCTCCTAACATTCTTCCCAATACTTCACCTTCCCATTCCCTTATTTCATTCTTTGAATTATTCTCCTACTTCTACAACTATTGTTTCTTACTGTATTACCCTCTGTTTCATAATACCTCTTGCAATTTTCCTCATATTGTGTTATTCTCCCTTTCTCAGACACACTCTTCATTTGATCTGATTGCCCTGTACCTTTAACCCTATACTCTTTTACAGATCCCCACTGCATTCCATTTGTTCTCCCTCTATACCTTTTTCACTACGTCCTTTTTGTTAATTAATTTCTCTCCTCTTTGCCACAATACTTTCCCATAGTACTATTTGACATATGTCTAGCACATTTGTTTCTTCTAACTATTAACCATTAACTATACTTATGACTCCATATTCTTTCATTGCATTTGAGGTATTTTCTGTTCATACCAATAATCTTAAAATCTGATATAATCTTACACTAAAATAAGAATGAACATACAAATGAAACTTGTAGAAAGTGTGACTGTAACTGTAGAAATAGTCCTTTCCACAAAGTGATGCTAAATTAAATGACCCAAAACTTGTCCAAAAATGGGTATAGTTTAAACAGAATCAAAGCTGACAAGTTCAATTGTAATGTGTAATATGAATATATTCAAACAATCATTCTAAACCAATTCTTTGCACCAAAATCCATTTAGCGGACTATAATCAATAATATATAAATAGTTTATGGTCAAAAAGTAAATAAATGTGCAAGATTCCTTTAGTGCTAGAGAGCACTAGAGATGAAGGGGGAACATGAGGAGGAGGAAAATGGATGTTGAAGAAAGTGAAGATTTTCTTATGAGGGGAGGAAGAGGGGACAGACATTCAAGGAGCAGAGGGAGGGATATGTGTAGAAGATGAGGTGGAACATTTAGACTGTTTTATGTGATAGGTAGAGTGAGGAGGGGTAGTGGAGGTTAGAGTATCTGGTTTTAGAATGGCAAAAGAATTTGCCTGGGGGTAGTAGTGGGAATGCAAGTAGGAGGAAGAGATACAGGGGGAGTTGCAGAAACATCTTCGAAAGAAGGGGGAGGAACAGAGCAAAGGACAGTACTGGAGTAGGGAGTGAGAGAAAAACCTTGTCAGCCTTGCCTCACACAAAGTGAGATCAAGTTTGAATCTATCAAACTTGTACATAGGGCAGCCCCTATAAAATGTATTATGAGAGCCACCATAATTAGTATATGTGTGATTCCACAGGGCAGTTTGAACAATCATAGCCAGATTGGGCACACACAGGGCAATGGGCTGTGGAGTGAGCCAGCACTTTTTACACTAATGGGGGAGGGTCTGATATGATCAGGCAAGGCAGGACTCTCCACCAATATAAACTTCATAGGAAAGTAACCCTAGCAATATTGATGTGGGAGTTTTGGTGCCTTTGGGGAAAGTAATGCATTTTACTGATAATGCATCATAATCAACAAGCCAGCAAGCACGTAGTATTGACAGTCTGACCAATCTGTTGTAAACACAATCTGCCAGGGAGATTACAAGTAATAAGGGAGGAGTGAGACTGGGCAGGAATAAGTTTGCCAGTGAGCTCAGGACTTAGATGTAACTGTGACAAGGCGTGAATGATCAGCAGGGTTGCAGAAGGAAACTTTACCTGCTTATTTGGAGACATTGTTGGAAGAGGAGGGCAGGAGGTAGAGAAAGTGTTGTTGAGTAAGATAGTACTACAGGGAGGTATCACTAAGGATGAAGAGTATTAATATGGATGGAGGGGGTTGAATATGATGAAGACTGTGGAGGATATTGGGAGAGGAAAGAATGTTTTCTGAAGGTTGAGTCATGACCTGTGCCCATGGCTCCCTGAGACCATTCGGGACTGACATAAAGTGAGCCTTTTATCCTTTCAATACAGCTCTTACATCTTGGGAAATAGACAGAAGAGGGTGTTAGAGAAAAGAAGGAAAAGGAAAGGGGGAGAAGAAAAGAACATGCAAAATTGGCAGAGCCAAGGGCTGAGGCCCAGGGTAAGGGAGATCCTCAACACTGGGCCTCAGTCTCCGTCTCCTATGCCTCCCCCACAACAATGGCATGAGATTGGTGGGGAGGTAATGGGAAAAAAGTTACTGGTTATGAAACAAAGTACATTCTCTTATCCAGTTGATATAAATTTTGAATAAACTGGGATGATCTTATGCAAAAATTTGAAAAGGTCTTAAAAAAAAATCAGGGTAAATCAAACATCACCTCTTAAAAAACAATTATTTAAAACTTCCCAATATACATGGCACTTTTTTTTTAGAGAAATATATAAATACACCAAACAGTGCTGGCCTTTATATCAAGCACTGTCATAAATTTACACTCTTGTATATATATTCATAGGTACAATGTTCAAAAAACAATTGTAATGCCAAAAGAGTTGGCAGGAGTGGAGTTAGTGACATAAGCATAAGCCTGTCAGCGGCAAGACTGACCTTGAAAGACGTCCGGTAAAGGATTTTTCAGTATGGAAGCATGAATGAAAACACACACACAAGGGTATTCACAACTCTTCCCCCAGATGAGCATCGACCGCAGTACCAAATGGCTCCCAATCTGTGGTCTGGACTTTGTGACCAAAACTGCTGATGTTCCTCCTCTGTTACCCCCACCCCCCTTTGCATCTTTATGTTATTGTGCTTCCCCTTCACTATCTTTATTTATAGTTTTCAAATAGCATTAAAAAATTACACAAAATTATTTATTTTTTTAGGGTAAATGAGGAACAAAATTTTTTTTGAGTCCACAGGTACAGCTAAAATATTAACTATAATTATTCTTTGACCCTGACGGTATGTATTACTCTGATTGTTGGTTTTGGAAGACATAATTTTTAGAATGTTTAAAAACTTTTAAGTACAAGAAGCTGAGTGATTGTCAAGAGAGTAGTAAACAAGTTGTTCCCATTTCTGAAAAAATGGCCATATGGATCACCCTTGTAACTATAAAAGGCAAACATACATATACATAATTTTCTTTTCTCATAATGAACCTACCTCCTGTGAAATATTGGATTTTCAAAAATCACACCACAAAGAATAAAATTTCAACCATAACATTTTCTGTTAAAATAATACTCAACACACTTTAAAGAGTAACTGCCAGTGTAAAAATATGAGAAGTTGTAGGAAAGAAATATTGCAAACACAGAGTTCAGTAACACTATCACTGTCTCTACTCCAAATATAGTTTGGAAGAGTAAATGCCCTAAGGTTGAATATTAGGTAAATAAATAAATGAAAACAATTCAACAAAGCCAAAACATCTTACTTAAATGCCATTAGCACATTGAACCAAACAGAAAACCACCAGCTCAAATGCAATGCAATGCCATGGATCTCCATTTCTTGCACTCTGAGCTGCTCTATGAGTTCTGACCAATGCCAAACTTCTGAAATTTCTCAGATAGCAACCTTAACCACAGCTATGTTTGTCCAACTCCCATGACAAACAAAGCTATGGCAGTCATACACAAGCATAATAAGAAGTCACTGGCATATTTCCTCATTCTTTAAAAATGGGTTATATATGAAGGTTTACACAGGTACATCCATGTGAGTATATTTACATGTATACAATATATGTACAAGTCTACATATACTGTATATGTATGTATACATTTATACATGCATGTACAAATGTATGGGTGCATGCATTATGCATACACAAAGATCAGAAATGAGTAACATCTCAAGAAAAATACATATGTACAAAATGTCATACAATGTATTCAGTGACGAACAACACTCTATGACAGAAAAGAGATGGTGTGTTAGACTGCCGTCATAACAATAGTTTTATATTAGCTTAGACATAAACCAAACAGGCACACAAACACAAGACATACATACAGTACCTTACCAAACTTCAGACACAGACTAAGAAAAAAATAAAAATGAAAATAAAAATAAATAAACAAAAAATTAGCATGTCTTAACTGAAATCTTCATTGATCATCCAAATTGTTAGTGAAATTCATTCTCCTTCCTTTTCTTTCTATTTCTATTATGTATAAACACAACTGTCATAAGACATGTATCATGTGACTCTATAAACACTTATTCCTTCACAACCAATGTATGATAAAGAAATGCAAGTCAGTGTAGCCTTCCTTTGCTATCTTTCGGCCAGTCTTCTGGGGTCCATTGCTTATGGGTTGAAGCCCTTAAGTGGTTCTCTTTTATGACTTTGTCCAATCAATGCAATGAAGGTCTTTTGTGTGTGTGAATTATGGTGTGTGTGTTTAGGTGTGTGTTCAGATATAAATACAAATTGAAATGCATAAAAAATGCATTTTATTCACTTTGTTCACTTTTTTTTAAGGGCTTTCACAGTTATAAATCATTTTGGCTGAGGATGACTGGAAATTTTTATTGCTCTAATGGAACGACCATATTGCTCACTCATTCATTCTCTCGCTCTCTCACTTTCTCAATCTTGCAGTCACATTCCTTCAACTCTAAATTAAAACATAAATAATGAACACATACAAAGATATACTCTTAGAAATAAAAGAAATAAAAGCCAAATTTATACAGCAACTCTCCAAACATCAGAATGCAGTAAGCACACAGGATGCAATCACCATGCTACAGCATAATAAAGCTGCATTCTTTTCTTGAAACTTTCTCACTCTGTTTACTTCTGGTATACTTGGAAGAATGAAAATCTTACTTCAAAAAGAGCTTCTTAGCAAACCAGCTGGTTTGCATATCAGTCTGTTACTTGATAAAAGCACCAATGATTATGTAAAACTATTCTTCTGTACTTTTAGCAAAGGCATTTTCGGCACTTTTTCAACTTCTAGAAATTCACATCTTTTCTGCCTTTGGTCAAGCTGCACAGTTTCACATATATATACACACACAAAGACCATATATAAAGACAGTATAAAATATAGAAGGTGGGGATGCTATTGTGGCAGAATGGCTGTTTAAAACGGCCAAACTGCAGCTATTAAAATGTCTGCCACAAGTCTTTAAATTCACTCTTCACAAGTTCATTCAAAGGATTAACCTCTGGCAAAGGCATCAGAAGAAAAGACACTTAATCTGTCCATGTACTAGCACCTATGAACAGCAATATATGCCACTATATGTCTATCTGTTCCTACTGCTTAATTTACCATATCTAATATGGATGTCACTTCACTCCCAGCACACAAGGGGTTAGAAATTTACGCCTATTTAAAACAAAATAAGAATCACTGGCTCTTTCAATTGCATTTTCTAGGATGGCATCACACTCCATCCAGTCTAGATGAGCCTGGCACGATTCAGGTAGGCAATGAGGACCTGGTAGACAAACTTGTACTGGGCAATGGTCTGTACAAGGGCCATCCTCTGCTGCCGTAGGTGGTGCAGAACCTTTGGTGGATCAAGAGGGAGATTATGATCAGCTGCCTCAAGCAGGAGGTCACACAAGATGGTGACCCCTGATCTCCCTACACCTGCTGAACAGTGCACCAAGACTGGGGTGTTTCGGTTCCTCCCAACTCCACGCACCTCGTTGTATGAATATCTTCGTAGTGTTGACAGCTCCTCCAGGAAGCCTAATGCAGGAGGGTAAATTTTATTAACACCTTTATATAAATTGGCTAAATATATCATGATATCAGAACAATGCTGCAACACTGTTACAGTAAAACAATGAAGATACAGTAAAATGGTGAACCAGAATCATGAACTATGAAATTAAATTACAGATCTAAGAGAAATATTTGATGTTTACAAAAGGCAGTCAAAGGGAAAGAAGAAATGTAGAGTAATAGGAACATGGTAAAGCATGATAAAGCTAAGCACAAAGGTTGAGAGGTTATTGGAGGGGGTAGAAGTAGAAATGTAAGGGAAGCAGGAGTGATAATTGCTT